TCTCTCTAAAATAAATTTTTAAAAAGAATTTTGTGATACAATTTGTCAAGTCTTTGTAGGAAAGCTAATAACTAAGATATATATGATCAATATTTACTCCTTGTAAGTGGCCAGCTGTAATAGAACCCCAAAGCTGGTTCTCCACTGAATTTTACAATTTAGGATTCTCTGCCCTGAAAAACAATTAAATTCTTTACCATTCATCCTTAACCAAAATACTCATTTCAATACTAAGGAAGCAAAAATGAGGAAGTTGAAACATACATCTACTTTTCTTCTTGCCATATACCTTACCTTCTCACATGCCAAATTACTACTGCAGAGAGCCACTATGCTAACCATGATTCCAAAGGGTTCCTAAGCATCTCAAAAAGAGGTACCTTGGTTCCTGATGATTATTGTATAATGGAAAAACGATCTCCCAGGAGACAGTCATCCTCCATAAATAAGCCAGCAATGAAAGTATTCTGTCATCTGTTTCTACTTACCCTCAGTAACATCCTGGGGGTTAGAAGTCCGGTCACTGGCTGGATCCAGTGCAACAGTTGCCAGTGAAGTGGTGGCTCCAGACATCTCACTCATAGGCTCGCTACGGCTTGTTTCAGGCACACTTTCCCGGGAGCTAAATCTTACTCGGGAACTAGATCGGGAGCTGAGGTCCGGGCTGGTGTCTGACAAACCTGGAATATCATCGATCTTTGTTGGTGTCACCATGAACCGAACTGAAGCCATCTTGGTGGTGGTTTCTGGAGGATGCATTTTTCTTTTTCTTTTCCTTTATAAGGGCAAAGAAAAAAGGAAAATCCCGCAAAATCCTTCCTCCTACGCTAGCTGCTTTAATCACAAAAATCTTTAAAAAAAAAAACAACAACCCTCAATTACCTTGATTTATAGCACACACAAAGCCTCAATTAAGAATCCTGATATTCAGAATTCAAGCAGACTGTCCTAGGAAGTGCACTATCAGTAGCTGAAAAATATTTAAGGAAAAAAAAAAAGACAAAACGATGCCTATCTCCTGTAACTTCGTTCCTTTAGAATGGAGAGCTATTTAGCTCTCCCTCCTGGTCCATGCAGCGACATGGTCTTAGAGAAGCAAGTGAAGCTTTTCTCTTCTCGACCCCCAGGTTTCGGCTGAGGTAGTTAGTCCTTTATCTGGTAAATGTCCCACGGTTCTAGTTGAGCAAAGTGCGCGCAGGCCCACCCTTACCATGAAAATATAGCATAGGTCAGATTGCAAAACGGTGTACACCCGGCCACCTGTTGTACATCAGGTGAATACCCCACAGGTCTGGCTGGGAGGAGGTGTGTGTAGAGCCACCCGAGGTTTTTGAGGCCGACAATCCACTTGGATCTGGTGGGAGAGGTATGCATGCATAACGGGAAAAATATCCCACACAGCTGGACGGAGAATAAGGAGACAAGAGCGAGCAGAGGATGCAGGGCAGAGCAGATTCCTGCCTCCAAGAGGTTACGGGGGTGGCCCGCCCGCCCGCTCTTCTGGCAGAAAGGTCCCTGGGAACTGGGAGGAGGCGGATAGCGGATCGAGACACCTCGGACTGCACCTCAGGGTCGTGGCAGGTCGTTGCTAGTCCGTCGAGCCCACGTCTGCTCGCTGGGTTTCTCCTGCGTGTGACAGGTCCAGACACCCCTTTGCCGGGAGTCGCTTTCTCCCCTACCCAGGTCTCTGGCGCAGGTCAGATCCTTGCCGTTCTTCCTTTGGTTCCTAGCAGATGAGAAGACGGCCTCGCAGGCTGGCCCTGACTGATCAGGAGGGGGCGGTGCGGATGAGAGAAAGAGGAGGTCGCAGGTGCGGGATCCCGGCGCCAGCTGATGCGGGGTGCGCGCGCAGCTGTTGTTTACGAGCTGGTAACTGTTTCGGAGCCGCAGCACCCGCAGGAGGGCTCAGGCTGCCGGGGAGGGCGCCCCCTCCCCGGCCAGACGCCAGGGTAGCCGTTACGTGACCTCGCCGCTCCCGGCCCCGGGCCTGGCGGGCTCTGCCCACGCCGCCGCAGCCCCTCCCTTCCCTCCCGGCTTGTTCCTCATTCGAGGTTAACGGTCCGAAGAGAAGAAGGGGGAACGTTCGGAGGGCGGAACCGTCCTGCGAGCGTCTGGAGCCCCGCCCAGCCTCTGCCGCCCTCAAACTGACGGAGGGAGATGCGCGCATGCGCTCGTCCGACTCGCAGCATCACTAGTGGGCGAGGGGCGGGGCAAAACGTGGGAGGTCCGAAGCACGACGGGAATTGTAGTTGGGGGCGGGGGCCTGAAACGTGGACGAGAGCAATCCCTTTCTTGTTCTCTTGTCTTGCACCAACTCACTCTGAAGGCATCTCTGGGAGCAGGCGTTGCCCCTTGCTCTCAGAACCTCAAAAAACCCTCGCTCTTTAATAAGAGTGTCTCTGAAAATACCATTAATAATTTCTCAAAATCACAAATCTCCCAATACCATATATCTAGGTATTATTACCTTTATTGGAATTGTTACGTATAGGGCTAAAGCATTGTATCCTTAAATTTATGCATAGTGTACATTTCCTTTTTCTTGTCCTTTAAAAAATGCTTTTCACAATGTATACATCTATCAAATCATGTTGTACACCATAAATGTGTACCATTTTGTCAACTATACCTCATTGAAGCAAGGAAAATGTTATGTTCACTTGCCAGTCAGATTGAAAGTTCCATTAACGAAAACGTTTTTAATTTTAGACCTAAGATACTGTCTCTTGACTCCATTCCCAGGGTTTTCCCTACTACTGCCAACAGTGTTTTTCTTAACAAATTTATTTAATACACAAATAGAGGTGTTCAATAAATTTTGGCTCATCAATGTTTTGTTTGAAAGTTACTCCTATAGCTTTGATCAAGACATTTAAATTTAACAATCTGGGCCCTAGCTTTGCCTGTGTCCTTCCTCTACAGAAATGGAAATGTTTTAAGCATCATCCTTAGTGATAGATCAGAACTGTATTTAAGACCTGAGCCAGCAAATTCCCTTTTAGCAAATGGCACAAAGTCCAAAGTCCAGTTAAAAAGATCCAGGTAACAAAATGAGGGAAAAAAATCCCACTTAAAATGTACACTTCCTCAAAACTAGATGTTTTATTAAGCCTGTGCCTATTGATTCAGGCTGGTTTTTTTTTTGGTTTTTTAATTGCATGGAGATATTAATTTCCAGAGGAAATAAATTTCCAGCTTAAAGAATTCAGACCCTCTCCCAATAAAGCTGTTTTCTAACCTGAGGAAGCAAGAAATTCACCTCCCAGAAAGATCAGGGTTTTTTTTCAGGCAGGCCTGCTGTTCATTCAAATCTCAGAGATTCCCTTTATAAAGAAATACTGGATTTCTACGACATCCAGTTGTTTCATACCACAGAATATTTTCATTAACTTATATATACTACCTAATACCAATATACTATAACTCTTAGGACTCTTCTTCCATTTCTGAGCACATCTCAGATGTTAATACCTTAAGGAAAAAGTCCATGGTGTATTCAAACCAGTTTGCCTTTCTCCTCTACTTCAATTTGAAGTATTTCCACCTCAAAGTCTTTTTACTTCAGTCTACACAGAATATACCATGGAATAAAGCTAATCCTTTTTTGGTGGGGAAAGTGTAAATTATAAAGATAAAATTACAGTCAACATTAAAAAAAATGGGTAGCATATTTCATTAACTGACTTCGGTGCTTAAGAAACTTCCATAGCAGATCCTTTTTTTTAGCCATTTGCAGAATTTTTAATATTTCTTCAATCATTATCCGCTTAATAGGACAGTATAACTCTTTAAAATCCCTCAGATCCAATGCTAAGAACCCTGCAAGTGAACAGGTTAAGAAAAAAAAAAAAAATTGCTTGATAGGAAACAAGTATCTCATTTCACCATTCCCGTATGTTTAATTGATTTGAAAATCATGTCTTCTATTAACCATGACCCAAGTTTAGATTTTTTTTTTTTCTCAGCAGTCAACAACTATCCTGAACTTTGCTGAGGTGATCAAAACATTAGCTTCCAAGAGAAAAACATCTGCCCCTTTTCAGGGCCAGTCTTGATAAATCAAATTTGTGCTGATTTGTTACATCTGCTTCCGGAGTCTACAATCTTGATGTAGTAGAAAAAGAAGATTGTAAAATTAGAACACAATCTCCACAAAGCAATTTTCAAATCTGTGGCATCAAACAAACATTCAAATTCAACGTCAAAAGCCATGAATGAGAAGATTGGAAAAGAGTGGATTAACTTGACAAGGAGTAGAAGCAAGGTAGCACTTCTTGAATGCCTGTATACAATATTTTGACTCATCATCCCTCTAATATAAAGTAACTGGATTAAAATTTTATGGTTACCAATTGACAGAAGCTCAAGTCCTAAGAAATCTCACAGGTTTCTTGTTATTAACTCCCAGCTGTAAATTGAAAAATAAAATCTCTGCTTGAATCTCTCATACCTCAACTTTAAATTAAGATCCATGTAGAGGTCCATATACCAGTTAGCTGTCAGAGAGAATATAAAGGTAGGTGTATGTAAAAAGATAATTCCTTGGACAGAACTAAAAGCCTGGGAATATTTCCAGAGGGGCAGTAAATATGCATAAAACCATTCCTATTCACGACAGTGGGACAACACTGCAGATATATTAAGATCCGCCACTGAACCCAATCAGTTTTAGAGTTGGAAGAGAACTTAGAAATGATGAGAAAAGTGGGACTAAGTAAGTTAAATGACTTTCTTAAAGTTATAAAGAGGAACCAATCCTGGTCTCCTGACTTCCATTCACTGCTTTCCTTCTACTATATGGCTGCTGTCATTTTCAAGCAACTCTTCCCTTTTGAATCAAAATGTCACTTAAAGGGGCAAGAAATTACTTGAGACAACAGGGGTTTTTTTCTGTGAATGCTGAAAATTACATAAAAGTCTTTCTCAACCTTTCTTTCCTTTCCCCATCACCCCCCCATCACTAACAATACAGCACTACTCCTGCTATCACAGCAACTTAATATTTTCTTCCAAATGGTATTGTTTTTACCCTGGGGTACTCTTTCCTCTCACCCCTCTTTTTGTTTCAGTTTTTAACCACTTCTTTCTTCTCACGACATAGAAAATAAAAGCTCTTTCAAATCATTTTAATAACCTAACAGTGAGTCAAAATACGAAGATTTAGACTTGTTCCCTTTAAGGGGGATACCATGATTGCCTCTCACAAGCATGATCAAAGGTAATGATGACACCAGATTCCAAAGAGCAAGGGTGGTAGTAAGGCTTCAAGGCGCAGAGGGTAGCAGGCGGCAGGAGACATGAAATTTAAGGGATCCTCAGAGGACAGGGCGCGGTTGCTGGGTCATCAGCACCTTGAAACGTTTCTTGATGGTGATTCGGTGTCGAGAGTATTTGTCGTCTGGGGAGAACCGAGCAGGATGGGCCGAGCAGGTCTGCTGTCCCGCAGGGTCGAACTTCTGCTCGAGGGAGAGAGAACATATTGTCAGTACAAGAGTAGTGAGAAAACTCCTTCACTGGCGTCACAAGGGAGATAGAGACTGGGATGGAGAGGAGGGCGCGCGAAAAAGGGTGAAAAAGAAGACAGGAGACGCGACAGTCAGAATAAGCAGTCCCCTGCTTCTACCGCGCCTGGCTTTTGGGCTTTCTAGTTCCCCTCACCCAGCTAGGCGACTGTAGCAGGTCTCAACCGCTCCTCCCACCTACATTTTTCGCCATACCCATTTATAACATGTTCGCTCTTCTCACCTTTAGGGTATAGACCCGGTCTCCCTGTTCATTGAGGTAATACTGGAGAAACATGACCACGCTGAAGCCTGGGGTTCCAAATTGCGTCAGCAGCTCAGTCTATCAGACTCCCTCACGTGTTTGTCGATTTCCTTCCTGTATAGCCGGAAGTGTCTCTCTCAAAGCATGCCGGGAAACGTAGTCCATTTTCGGCCTTTCTCCAGCCGGGCGGAAGGGGGCGCACTGGTGCAGGACTTGGCCCAGTTGCAAGCCAGTTGCAACCTTGTAGGCATTGGCGCCAAGTTGCAACCCTTGCAGGCTTTCTAGGACACATGGAGTGTGCCCACTGTGTGCCAGACACTGCTAAGCATTAGAGTGGGATAGGGATAGATATGAGTTGAACATTAATGAATGGAATCCAGTCTTTTTCGCAAGATGCACACCCATTTCAGGGGCAGCGGGTTTCTAGTGCGTGGAGAAACAAAGGGCTCCAGGATCCAGAGGTCCTTTACCTTAAGGAAGAGAGGTTTTCTTCCCTCCCCTCTTTTACATCCGGTTCCCCCGCCCTATTTCAAAGTATTGGCGGTAAAGAGTGCATGATGGGTATTCAATATCTGTACAGCGAAGAGAGCATGAAGTTATTTTATGAAACTGGTGAAGTGTGTTTTAGTGGTCGAACCAAGATCCAAACTCAGGTCTCTTTACCACAAATTCAGCGCTCTTTCTTATAGTGGTGAGTAACTAATAATAGCATAATAAAATGTACCTCCTAAGGGTATTTCGAATTTTTCGAAGAACGTAGAAATTCTCCTTATGAGACTAGTATAAAATGAAAATCGGAGCCCGGGTAACATTACAAAGATGACCGTCGCAGTATTATTTATAATTCCAAAAAAACATTTATAACCAGAAAAACTTGAAAGCTTTTTTAAAAAATAGAATATAAACGTAACGGTACAACCGTATTTACTAGTAGAGCTAAAAATATCTGCAAGAATTCACAAGAAACAATATTGGTGTTTTGGGGGGTAAAAAACTCGGTTCCACAGGAAAAGAATAGGAGGGAGACTCGCTGTATATTATTTTGCATACTTTAACTTTATAACCATGCTAATGTAGTACTCATTTAAAAATTAAAATTATTTAACAAAATTTTTAAACAACAAAAATTATTTAACAAAAGGACATTTTGGTCTTGAAATTTTAGGCTGAATGCCACTTTTTGATGGAGTGGGGCTTTTCAGCCAAGGGTTAAGGCTGAGCCTTCTGTGGACTGCAGAGCTGGTGGTGGTGAACTATTTGGGAACTGCAGTACAGCTTTCCAAGGAAATGATGTGCACACATCAACCAGACACCCTGGATCTTCCCAGACAATCCTAATTTAAAACATTTCGTTCCCTGGATCCTTAAGTACACAGACTATATGTTCTGAATTTGGTTTTAGATAATATAGCCAACATTGAATTAAATCAAGGGTTTGCCACAACCTGCTATTAATAGGAAGTCAGTTACAGAACTGGGTGGGACTTAAAGGCTCAAAACTAAATATATTGTTGAAGAATTGTGTAGGAAACAGAGATGTAAAACTATAATGTTGGGAATCTGAGTATTTACAAATTGCCCTAAAGCGATACACAACAATGGTGTCTCCATACTCTGGTTTGGAGGGAATTTCTGGTTACTGCCAATTTACCAGAGCCAGTTGTGGAATATCTCCCTACCCCCACCCCACTTTCCGCCCTCCCCTCCCCCACTGAAGAATACCTCAAGTCCTAGATTCTAGTTCTGTTTTGATCTGATCTTTATCCTCCTCTCCTTGGATCCCTTTGTATCTACTGGAGCCAGGTTACTCTCTGGGTCCTGAACCTAACTGTCTCATTCTGGAGGCTTCCAGACAGCCACGGTTAGTGTCCAAACCTGAGAGGATGACTTCAGATGGAGGTAAGTCTGCAGGTGGCAGGGAGGGTCCCCCCACCCCTTACCACTTGCTCACATCCTTAGAGATTCAAATTTGACATTTTCCCTGAGGACAACAGGGCTCTCTAGACTGATCTAGAGGGATGTGAAAGCACTAGATCCGACCAAGGCAATTACATTGGGGAGGCTAGGGAACAATAAGATTGTGCCATTAAGACTGGGGGTTGGGGAAGGAAGAGGGCCTTCTGGGAGGCAGATCAAAGCACCGTAGAGGAAAGAGCAGCATATAGGGAAGGAATCGCAGTTATCAACTTGCTTCTGTGGAAGAGGGGCGCCTTCAACCTATGTTTGTGTGGCAGGAGCAGTGGTATGTGTGGGACAGAGAGAGTTCAAGGGGAATGCCCAGGTTCCTGTGTCTTCTTTAGATCATTGAAGCTTGCTCTAGAATTTTGCCCTGAGAGAATTGAGCTGGGGCCAAATGTTTTGGGGGGCTGGGTGGGATGGAGTGGAGACCTTAGTTGGAAAAGCTGTTCAGTAGAGTTATCTGTTGCCAGGTCTGTAGAGAAATGTCCTCCTGAAAGCTAGACTGGAAGGTACCATAAGTGTTTCTGCTCAGAGTCTCATGGCTCCTTCCACCCTCAGTTCAGGGAGCAGTTTTCTTTGATTCCCTGAGGGCCAGGGGAGTTGGATCACTCCAGCCATAATGAGAGCTGGGGCTTCCCTGAGAAGCTCTTAAATTTCCCATGGTTTGTAAAACTCAGGCCTTCAGACCTATTTCATTGTGTTCAAGTTTCATGGAATCCTCCTGGCCCTCTGCTCTATGGTCGAGATGATGAGTTTGCTCATATTCCATGTCTCCTTCGTGGTCAGGAATCGGAAGCTGAGTGTTGTTAATTTGCCAGTGCAATATTCTTTGTAAGAGGCAGAGGAGAGTAGCATGCAATAAGGCAGATGATCTATTATTGTCATAAAAAGTCCTAGAAGACACATGTCCTAATTAATTATCATTTTATGTATTTATCTTTGGTCTCTTTGATGAGAGCCCACATAGCTTCTTAGCAGGTGCTGTGTTTCAGACTTCATTGTCAGTGCCTTGTTCTTGGTGGATCCTAAATTTGTGTTAGGAGCAGCAAGCAGAATGGCCACAGATAGTCTGCATCACCAAATTTTAAAGCGCTGGAAACCTCTCTCCCCACGCTGCCCTCCCCTCGCCTATTTCCTGGCCCTTATCTCTAGTCATTCTTGGCTATTATATAACAAAATTTCCGAGAACCAGCCGTCTAATCCACATACCCTTTCCTGGGACTAGCGCTTCTGTGAGTGGTGGCAGGAACCACATAGCAGCTGGGAGCAGAGTTCAAGTGGTTTGAATAGGTTTGGAACATGTTGGAATGAGAGATGTACCTGTATGCTGGGTGGGATGTGTTATGGAATATGAACTCATAGGTCCAAGGGTCATTGCAACTTTTCTGTATAGTAACTTTCAGCTGAGAGTAAGGGACATCAAAATAACTTGCAATCTACACAAGTGCCCCCTCTGTATACCCTCCCTCACTTGTAGAGAATCAGAGCTCTGATTCTTTTCTTTAGAGACTAAAGTAGAACACTAATGACTTAGCTTCTGGTCTGTTTTTCTCCTACTCCATTTCTTCTTTGTCTTTGTCTCAACAGCATCTCCATTGCCTGGACCAGATATGGCCATGAAACCTGGTGTTGCTCTGTCTCCTTTTAGTGCACTTCCCTTTCCCTCACCTGTTCCTGGCCCACCAGACCCACCACCCTGGGAGTTACCTCCACAGCCCCCCATGCCTTCAGCTTTCTCTCCAGGCAATCCTCTGATGCTCTCTGCTTTCCCCAGCCCATTGTTGGTCACAGAGGATGGGGTCCCTGGCCACGGTGGGGCTGGAGCTGGCAAAATCATTGTCAAAGTCAAGACAGAAGGGGGGCCAGCTGAGTCCTCTCAAACTCAGAACTTTATCCTTACTCAGACCGCTCTCAATTGGATTGCCTCAGGTGCTCCCTGTGGGGGCCCCGAAGGTCCCACCCCTCGATTTGTGACAGCCTCTAACATGAAGACCCTTTTGCCTGCTAAGGCTGTTGGGGTGATCCAGGAGGGCCTCCCAGGCCTTCCTGCTCAGGCTACGCCACCAACTTCCCAACTGGCCCCCATTGTGTCCCCAGAAAAGGCTTGGCCAGGGCCGCATGGGGCAAGCGGAGGAGGTCTGGCAGCCGCGCAGTCCAAGCCCTCACTGGGTGACCTCTCCTATACCTCCAAGGGTGTTTATGAGAACTTCCGTCGCTGGCAGCGCTACAAACCCTTGGCCCGGAGGCACTTATCCCAGAGTCCTGATACAGAAGCTCTTTCTTGCTTTCTTATGTAAGTGGAGATACCTGAGATTAATTATCCAAGGGCTTTTAAATAAGGAGGGCTTTGGGATGGATGAAAGAGGTTAGGCTATGTAGGAATACTTGAGAGCAGGTCGTGAGGGCAGTGGAGATGCTATGAGTCTGAAAAGTATTATGATGATGATGGTATTAATAATAAGCTTCTCTACCCACTTCCCAGTTTGTAACAAGGCTTCAGGTGTCTCCCCTCAAGTGATGCTCACAACCTCGTGAGTTCAGGCAAGCATTTTTATAGTAATCCTCATTTACAGATGAGAAGACTGACGCTCAAGAGAAGTTTCCTGTCATAAAATGAGGAGCAATGGTTGGAACTTGGGTCTTTGACACCAAGTGCCAGGGTCCTCCCATTGCATTTTAATACCTTTGGACATTGAGTCGGGCTAACCAAACTGACCAGGGTAGGAGTGCTGGGTCCTGACCCATTCTTATGGGACAGGAGGACCGTGTAGGGCCAGACAAAGGACCTTTTGTGTGTCACCTCCCCCACTGCCCATTTTATTCACGAGGATTCATGTTGAAATGGGGAGGTAGTAGATCTTGCTTAGGTCAAGCGCCTGGGTTCTACCTCTCCTCACATTTGTGATTCCTGGGCCCAACGTTTTCTCATCTAGAAAGGGGATAATTATGTCTATCTCAGAGAGTTGCTGAGAAGATGAAATGAGTTAATACATGTGAAGTGCTTAGCAGAGCGCCTCATACAGCACGATTCACTAAATGGTAGCTGCTGCTGCTGCTATTGTTATTATTATTATTATTAAAAGGCATTCTAGAAAAGAACTCAACAAAAGGCCAAAATCTCTTGCTTAAGAGTGAGTGGATGCTTACTTAGCCAAGGATCCCAAGGTCATGGGCTGTCTCTTGTGTTTATAAAACGGAGTCATTGGCCATCTGGGGAATTTTCTCTTCTTCTCTCCCAGGCCTGCTGCCTCTCAACAGCAGTGTACCCTCAACATTTTGTGTAAACCACCACGTAACACGTACCACATTTTACTGGATTTAAAAAAAATGTACACGCTGTTCCTTCCTTGGATGAACTCTTTTTTTCTTCTTTAAAACTTTATTTTCTATTGGTAGAATCATTGATTTTCTCTATTAACTTTAGGAATATAAAATCAAATCCCATCAAATTCAGGATTTGGTTTGGAATTGAAACCATAAATTACTTTTTGTTGCTATTGCAACTTGAATCTCATTTTTTATTACATTTTATAA